AAGTCGTCTTACCATTTGTTCAGCAAACATTTCACGCAACGCTAATGAACCATTTCTTAATCGGTTATTAATCTGCGACGGAAAATGGATCTTGTATTCGAATTCTAAGCGTTCGTATCATTGGTTGTCGCCTACTGATTCGGTACCACACTGCCCAAGGCTTCCTTGCACACAAACAAGGTTTGTTGCGACGAATAATTAGTGTCTTATTGTTTCTCAATAAAAAAATATGTTTTTCTACTAAAAGCCGCACAAACTTATTTGGTTATCTGATGGTATTGTGTAACCACTTCATCAAAAGCCGAGCAGTACTTCACAAGTTATAGGAAGTTATAGGATTTACAAACAAACAGACAGACAGACCGACTGATCGACTGACAGACAGAAATGAGTGACATAGTTTTTCGAGACCTAAATGTCATATGTCATTTTCAGATATTTTTGTGAACGATACTTCCCCGCCAGTAGGCGTGGAAGTAAAAAGTGTTTTGGAAAAGACGTGTCACCGAATGTATGACAAACCAAACTCAGCGCATCAAACGTGGCACAGAAAATTAATGTAACCTGAAAACGGAAAACGTTTTCGGCTGCTTTTGCCGACAAACAAAACAAAAACGCGTCAATTGAATACACAAAAGCATTACCTTTGAACAAAACACCGGCTCCGAGTTGAAACGCCTAATTGGACGCAAGCTACGCTTCCACTTTTCAAAGATTTTATCCCGGCTGAAATCCAAACAAGTAAAATGTTTTAATTGTAATTACTTTATATTACCACGTGTCTGGTTGGGAAGGGCTGGTGCTAAAGACAAAGGATTCGGCGATGAATTTTAAAACAGTTCGCTAACGAGATGGCCGTAAGCAAAAGACATAAAGGCACGGAAAGCGTGAATGTCCTTTCCTGCGGAAGGACAAATGTATGCCGGGACGCACCTTCTATTTGAAAAGGATTAATCGGGATAAATCTGGGATGTGGATTCGGGGAAATGTTCGGGATAAATTTTTGGACGATGCAAATTGTGGCCTTAGGCTAGGGTTGCTGACTAGATTTTATAGTGGGCGGACCATACGTACAATGGTAGTTCTGTCAGTACAAGGGAGATTCTTAAAGTTAAACAGTATGCTTTTTCTTCTTACCTGGAGCCATCCGAAAAAGAGTCCACTGCAGTCTTTTGGGATTATCATACCTTGGTCCTCGAATTTGCAGCAGTCCAGTGTTTTGCATATAGAAACATCGTAGGCCGCGCGGATCGAACGTCAGTACTGAATCTTAACCCACTGTTTAGTAAACTTAAATTCAAAGTTTTACAACAATACGTGCAGTGTTCTCACTACAGTGAATATTTAAGTGTCACCAAGTCATTAGAAAAATGGAACTCAACCGAGAACATTTTCGCGCCATAATTTATTACAACCTTCAGAGACAATTATCGCAACAAGAATGTATTGCTGAGTTACTGTCTGTTTTCGGCAGCGAAGCGCCACATCAGTCGACAATTTCCCGTTGGTATGGAGAATTCAAACGTGGACGGGTGAGTCTTAGCGACGATCCCAGGGTGGGTGCACAAAAAACGGCACTCAACCAGGAAAACACGGATGTTGTGCACAAACTCATCATTGAAGATAGACATGTGACATATCGCGAGATTAAGGCGTCCCTGAAGACCTCAGTTCAAATGATTTTACATGAAGAATTAGGAGTAAGAAATTAGTTCTCGTTGGATACCCCACCTGTTGACTGAAGAGCAGAAAGCAGCCAGGGTTAATTGGTGTCAAACAACGCTTGACCGTTTCAATTCCGGAAACTCAAAAAATGTGTACAGAATTGTCAGTGGTGATGAATCGTGGATTTACTGTTATAAACCAGAAAATAAACGACACTTGGCTGTTTGGGCATTTCAAGGTGATGAAAAGCCAACAAAAGTCATCCGTTCTCGAAGTGTTTAGAGAAAGATGGTCGCGACATTTGTATCAAAAGCGGGTCATATTGCAACAATTCCTCTTAATGAGCAAAGAACTGTTACTGCGGATTGGTATACCACCATTTGGTTGCCAAAAGTCATCACTGAGCTTCGAAAAATCAATCACGAAGGAAGAATCATCCCCCACCAAGACAATACAAGCTCGCACACAGCCCAAAAAACAAGGCAGTATTTAACGGAAGAAACGTGAGATTATTGGACCATCCTCCATATAGTTCCGATCTAAGTTCTAACGATTTTTTTACTTTCCCGAAAATTAAAAATAGACTGCGTGGTCAAAGGTTCCAGTCACAGAAGAAGCAGTTGACGCATTCAAAAATGCCGTTTTGGATCTGCCAGCAAACGAGTGCTTCGAAAATTGATTCGAGCGCATCCAGATGTGTATCAATCTTCGTGGAGAATACTTGGAAAAACAATTAAGTCATTTAAAATACCTACCGTGTTGTTTTTATTTCCATATGCAAAACTTAAAAGACATCCCTCGTACCAGTTGGTGCAGTTTCTCTACCGGTACAGTTCTAAACTCCTACCGTTTTACTTTCCTGGAGAGAGGATGCATTTTGTGGCCCAGCTTCCCGCGCTCTCATAAGACAGCTAGGGCTGATTTTGTTCCTTTTCCGCGTTGTCTGCAGCTGAGGTCTCCATCATTCAGTCCAGGTGTTCTAGACCATAGCACGATAACTAGACGAAGTAGGGTTCTACCCATTAAAAGCAATTCCGCAGCCGGTATTGTACATGGTTCCGAGATAACCTCTTTCAGATGCCAGCATTCAGATACTAAGTGCCAATGTTCTTTGTGCTGGTTTCTTACCAATTCTTTGACTAGGTCCCTGATTATTCCTTCCGGTACCTTCCAAGGCAGGATCTGAACCCGTAAAGAGTGTGTTTCTTTCCTTACTGTCAGTGTACAAGTATGGTCACTTTTTATTTACTCTTGTGCAATGCACGATTGCATACAATTTTGTCTGAAATCTTCCAAGTGCTAACTATGCTTACGATTACACCTGTGTATTAGGGAATTTCCCTTTGCAAGTTGTGCGTTTGGTGTTCCGTTCGATCTCCTGCTTTGTTCTGTCGCTTGCCTAAACCAATATGTTACTACCCAACTAACTATTATCACTCCTACTAAAGTTGTAAGTCTGATTATACAGTATTCCTTACACTGTAAGAATTATCTCAAAACCCTCTTAGAACAGCTATACAGGGGAATGGGCTCACCTAATAGGACACTTCAGTCATTTAAGAGGTTGTGTAAGGGCTGCAGGTAACAGTTATACAACAAAAGTGGAAGCCCCTTGCAGCCGCTATAGGACATTTGCGTCAGTGCAAGATTCAGTTTTGTCAACTATACAACTATTCTGTTACGTGATTCTACTTTATTGCAACCAAACTATTTCTTATGTATTGCATAGACGAAGTGAAGAATATATTACTAACACATTACAGTCATCTTGTTTACTTACATATCGGCCATTGTGAATTTCATACACAGGTATATGAGAAACTTCTACACTGTGATAAAGGGGTATTGAATTACTTGCGCAGCAAATTTTATTGTGATTATCGAGCAAAGTAGTTACGCAATTTCTACGGGCTTCTTATTTGATGCATATTTTGATAATGATCAAAAGTATGTCTAGATTTTTAAGATGGAAAACTGAACTTATCTGCATCAAATCTTCCACAAATCCTATATTTAGACACAATTACACTAATGTTTATCACTTATATCTGTAATTTCGAACTGAAACATAATTATTCATATTAAATAGAGGAATAAATGTTTGCCCAATATGGCTGGTGGTTGTATATAATCATGGCATCGTCCATGTTGCCTTCAGTTTATTAGAATATTTTGGTGTTGCCTGCAGGTGTTATACAACAATTTGACAAATGTCTGAAATAAAATACCGACAGAGGTCGTATGAATTACCCAGAATTTGTACCAGATCTATATCTTCTGTTTGAACAGTTGATGAAACTTTTGAACCAATATGCATGAGTTGTTGTCTTAAATCTTGGTTATGGCATTTTAACAAAAATATGACAGCAGAAAGTTAGGTTATGGTGAAGTTGTATACCAACATATTTAGCATATGTACACCCTTTAACAGTTAGTAAACAACAGTTGTATAAGTGCTTCCGTTGGAGCAACTTTTTGGCTAAGGTAGTAATATGCACAGCAAAACAACAAGGCTTGGGTTTGTTTTATAAACGTTACCTTGGGTGCCACAACACAACCATTTTGACTAACGTGCAAATATGCCGTATAAAACAGTTGTATAAACGTTTATACAACAGTTAAAAATTTGTCCTATAAGGTGTTGTATAACTATGCTAAAGAATATTTTAAACACCTCATTTTAGAGCAAATATGTTGCAGAAAGCAAATTTGCATTCCACACAACATTAAGCCAGCATTTTGGTGTTCAGGCAACAACAATAGAGAGCTTTTATGGCTGAACGGTTCTTTTACCAAAAGCTTATAGCAGTAGTACTTGCTAGTTTGGGTACGAACGCTATACAGGCGAAAAATGTCATACGATTCACTAAGCGTTGTGAGATTCAGGAAGGCGAAAGGGTGGTTAGGTAAAGGTAATCTATATGGTGGACAGTCTCGAACTATCGAACGTGAAGGTCCCACCCGGCGGATCTCTAAGGCGGGGCCAGAATGTGTTTATGTTGCGTACACACGCGTTTACCCGCTAGAGCCCGTGTGTACTCGTCTTACCCTAGAGTCCCATGGAGCGTATGCGTGTTTAGGCCTTCATACTGGTTTAAGTATATAGAAAAATGTCATAGGACCAGACTTCACCTATCTGCGAGTTTCAATAGAATCGACTGTACTGGATAGCTGAAAAATGCATTTGCTCCTTGTGCTGGAACATTACCAAACATTCTAGCAAGCTGTGGAAGATTCTGTCTACATTAGTGGATTTCTATGTAACTTCATACATTAAAAATATCACGAGTTAGAAAAGAGGATCTGTCCCATAACATAAATTTTTCTCTTACAAGGTCGTGGTCTATGTCGTGGGAATTAAGGATTTTTCGACGGGTGGAGGTGGAGTTAAAATATCGCCAACCGCTGAGGCTGCTCAAATGTAATTTAATCAATCAATGAAGAGATCTTGAAAAGTGTAATTACAAAACCTATAGGTGGCTGGAAAAATTATAACACTATACTTAAAAATGTTCAATGTGTGATGCAGTCGATGTATCATTAATCAACAAGGAAAGAGGAGAGTACGTCAATGACTTACTAAAAGGTTCCGAGGTGTGCGTACCTCTGGATCATACCTAAGGTGTCATAGGTAGCGTTAGATTTCTGTAAATAGATAAGATGGTGAAGCCTCTGCTAGGGAGAGGAATAAACTGAAGATTCGTAAGTAACCCTTGAGGAATACTTGATGAAAAATGAATGTCATTAAATCCAAAATATCTTAACAATTGTCTAATGTTTACAATCTTTGCAGGGTCACAGTAGTAACTACAAGGTTTACGGATGAAGCTCAGGGTTAATCCCACGGACAACGGTAGCTTTGGTACCCGTTAACAGTGTATAGTTTTCCAGCTAATAATTGACTGACGTCCAGTCTACACGATCAATGAAAATCGCATTCCATGATATAGTGCTGATATATCCCCAGTAAATACAGATAGTGTGACGTTCGCCTAACCCTATAGCCCCGAAACAACTCAAATTATCCATAACCGACCTCAAAGCATCAGCATTAAGCAATACATGGACATCTCATTTGGCTGTAACAGGGCCTGTGACAAATCGGGCTGAACATCACACAAGACTCCCAACTGTCAAGATATTAAATCAGGCGAGCGGCATTACAGCCACGCGCTGGCGTTCCATTCGGCAAGCTGTGCTTGTTGATGTTCCGCGTCATCAGTCGCGCATATATTTGGCTAAATCTCAGACGACGGGGGCGGTTTGGGGCAGATACGTGGCGGTCGCGGTCACAGGATGATGGTTAGACAAAAAGGTCCTGAAAAGCTGAAAATCCTTACCGAATACTAGTAAGGGTACCCTGCTACCAAATAAGGCCACATTAACGTTTGGATAACTGTAACTGCATAAATATTGTAGATATGTTTATTACACAAGCTACATCGGAGAACTCGGAGACCTTTTCTTTTCATATAAAAAAAATATATTTTTCGAAACACTACCGTTGGCCTTATTAGGAACCATGTATCCAGATAAGGCCACCATCTGGTTTTCAATAAAACCACAATCAAAATGTAAATCAAGACTGTATAATAAACGTAGCTGTATTTCTAATAAACAAAATTAAAAAACACTTAAGTCAAGACAGATTTAAATAAAAAAAGTCAACTTGTTTTAAAGAAAATCATACAGAATCTTAGATTTTGCCTTCGCAATGATGACAAACAAATGGTACTTTATCACCTCTACACAAGCCTACACATTCCTCATGGACATATCTTAAGCATACTACAGTATATTCAGATAAGAGATAGACCGGATGTAAACAAAGGTTCGGGTGATTTTCACGCTAACGCCGCCGTCTCGACGTAAAACAGGAGCCCTCATTGGTCAATTCGCAATTAAATGCCTATGCCGAGCGGCAGAGCAGTCGTATCAAGGCAGAGTCACATTCAGGTTCAGACGTGTTACGTAAGTCGTGTGCATCATTGCAATTTGATATTTCTTTGGACGTTTTCGTTTGTTAACTTATTAAGTTGTTGAGTTTGTCGTTGTTATTGTTATACCTTGTTATTGATTGTTATTGTTATCAACTGCTTGCGCAAAATGCCCAGTAGTACAGATACTGCCGATGAAGTTGTAAACACCTGTAGTCCACCTAGGAAACGCTCTAAAAAAAGACACCTGAGTGCAGAAATGAAAGAGGTCATTTTGAATATATATAAGATCGAGCGCGAGGAGAACGAGGCATCAACATCAAAGAAATTATTGTGAAGGTTTCTCACAAAGTTGGGGTGTGTCGCGCATCAGTGTTTAATGTGTTAAGACCAATACAAAAAAAATCACACTTTTCTGAGCCAATGACCAGTAAACATCGCAAAAGTATTGTTAAATCATTGGATGAAGCTGATAAGCATGCGATTTAGGAGAAAGTGCATGACTTCTTCTTTAGGAATGAAATACCTACTATAGATAAAGTACTGCAGGAGGTAAGTGGAGATACAACGTTGTCAAATTTCAACGATCAACTTTCCATGCGTTCTGAAGCATTTAAATTTCAAATGGAAAAAACGGGGTCGTAATAGTTTACTACTGGATAGAGAAGAAATTGTGCTATGGAGGAGGGATTATTTAACAAAATTGGGAAATATAGAAACCAAAAACAGGAAGATTTATTACCTTGATGAAACGTGGGTAAACGCAGGACACACTACAAGTAAAGTATGGGTGATGATTCTGTAACTTCTTCCAGGAGGGCCTTTCTAGATGGACTGTCCACCAGATTAAAAATCCAGCAGGTAAATACGAGTAATAGATTATATTTTTTAAGCCATGTTTTTATGTGTTTTCGATATTTCAATAATTTTTTAACTATAATCTTAAAATATGTCGAATATTATAAACTTAAAAAAAGTTACTAAGTTTTATTTGTGTACCGTTCCTATATTTCTAATCATTTTAATTCATACTTTCAAGCTTTATAAAGTTATAATTGTTATATTATATTTGCGCGTATTTCAGGTTCCTGATCATTCATTTTTTAAAGGTTTATAACTTAAATTAAATTTGAAGCGCTGAGTAAATCATACGACGTTCAATATTCTTTCTTTCAATATGACTAATAATCCCAATTATAGCAATCTGATACTCATGTCTCAATGTTTTTTCGCTGAATGTGATGAAAACATTTGAAAAAGGTTCGCTTATTGAAATAAATCTATACCAGTTAGTACTTCGATTTCCAGGTAAAGGGAAAAGGCTCATTATCTGCCATATTGGCAGTGAGGATGGATTTGTTGTTGACGGTCTGTGGTGCTTTGAGTCTAAGAAAACTGGAGATTACCACGAGGAAATGAATGGCGAATCGTTTGAACAGTGGTTTTCAAAAATTTTACCGAACTTAGAGGAAAACGCAGTAATTGTGTTGGATAATGCGCCTTATCATTCTCGAAGAATGGAGAAGGTCCCAACAACGGCTTCAAGGAAAGTTGATGTTCAAAATTGGCTCCGCTCGAAAAATATCAACTTTGAAGAAGCAATGCTGAAAGTACAATTATTAAGAATTGTCAAGGATCACAAGGCGGAATATCAAAAATACGCCATTGACGAAATGGCAGCAAGTCAAATAAAACTGTGCCCGTTTACCTCCATACCATTGCGAGCTCAATCCCATTGAGCTCATATGGGCAGAGGTTAAAAATTATATAGCTAAGCACAATACAACTTTTAAATTTTGTGACCTCAAAGGACTTTTCAAAGAAGCACTAGAATTAATAACAGCGCAAAAATGGGAAAACTGTATTAAGCACGTGAAAGACAAAGTTGAAAAGAGAATGTGGGAACTGGACAATATTTTAGAGGAACAAGTCGAGCCATTCATTATTGACGTTGGTGCTTCAGGCAGTAGCGATGATGAAAGCTCATCAAGCTCATCTTTCCAATAAAAGATGTCGTTCATCAAATTCGGTAAGTTATAAGTAATTATAAAGCTACTGTATTTTTTAATTAATTATTGACATTTTTGAACCCATTTTGGCAAAACCTATTCAAGAATCTACTTTCTGACAATGTTCAACCATGCACATTTTTTTACGCTTTGAACGTTTTAATTTGGTTACATATTTACCTAGAAATCAAAAAATATACTAATCAATATTCTAAAAGCAATTTTAAGAGATATACGATTATTTTTAATTTAGGCTAATTTAAACGCCATTTTGAGATTATATTCGACTGTATTTCACCAAACATCAGGCGGCATCCGAAGCTGGAAATCGAAGCGAAATTTTGAAACCCTTATGTATATTTACATCATTATATATTTCTTACCCCACCCCCACATGATCCTATATCCATCACCAATCGTATACACATCGAATTGTGCTAATTTACTACAAAGTTACGCAAAGCAGCATCTACTATCTAAAATATGTACTGCGTGACTCTTAATACGTCCCTGCCGAATGTTACAGCGTTCGATGATCACGTGGTCTTGTTTATGTCCGGTCTATCTCTTATCTGAATATACTGTACACACAGTCGCATGTCACGTACTTCATCCTTATCGCATATGAAAACAGTACCAGTTTTCGTATTTCTTCTTTCGGGACCTTTTGCTTTTAACGGTTCCAGACTCACTAGATTTTTTATTGTTTTATCTAAGCCGGATGGACCTGGATTTGGGTCTTTAAACAAATCTCTTACGACGATTTGCGCAGTAGAATTGATGGCTTTTCGTCTTTTTGTGGCGTTGGCCTTCCATTCGGGTTGTGGGAAGTACTTCCTGAACTTAGATTCAATTAATCACTGTCTATTTGCCCCAGTCACAAGATTTGTTGTTTCAAGAACTGCAACTTTTGAGTCGAGTATTTCTTTTTCATTGAATAGCTGTTATCTGTAAACATTGAAGTTTTCCGTGGCCATCAGTAGTGCAAGGGGTATGTCATCAGATTCTGTGAAAGCTGACATCATGGTTTTCCTCATTTCTCCTCCTGAACATCTGTAGCTGCCGTTATTTGAATCGGGCCTCTCTGACATTAAACTAGGTGTAAATGCAGTCTCCGGGATCGCAGCTGGGTCGTGTGGGTATATTCCTGTTGCGCGAAACCCTGACTGAAGAATTTTCAGAAGACATGGCCCTCTTGGATACACTTTCCTCAAATCTCTCCAAATCTTGCACGATCAAACTTCCTGCCAGGATACCAGCTGTAATGGTTAAGTATTTCATTCTCCCAATGTATATTCGAAACTGCGGAAAAACACATTTATCCAGCGGTTGCAGCACGTGTGTCGTGTTACTCGGAAGACACAATAAAGTGATGTGATGTTTTTCGGCGGCGTCAACAATAGTTGCATCCAAATGAGAAGAGGCACCATCAAAAATGAGAAGAATATCTCCTGGTGGCTTATAGTTTGCTAGATGGTC